CTCTCTCACTTCAATCTCTCTTATCTTGTCGATTAATTTCCTCTTAGGTAAGCTTCTTCGATTTTCCGTTTAGATCAATCGTGATTTCGTATCCGTCCGGTGAAATCGTTTCTAATCGTAAATTTTCTTCATTTCATATGGTTTTTGTCGATCTCAAATTGCAGAGATTAAAGAAAAACCTAATTGTTATCGTTATATTGCTGAAAAATTCACTTAGATTTGTCGGGTTCTTAATCGGAAAGTTTTTGTTGTGTTGAATTGATCGCTGCGATGTAGAAAAACCCCTAATTCGATCGCTTGTACGTACCCAGATCCAGCCCTGATTTTGAGGCTATATCGTGGTCTTTTGAGGAAGGGTATAAAACATTTTTGGATCAATATGATATCACAGGCACAGTTTTGAAGTATGCTTTATCAATTTAGTGTTTTCATATGAATACTACTTTATCAAATGGTTTGTGTTATCAGTATATGTTCTTCTAGAGAAATGGGTTATTATTTCATATATTGGTTTTATGACTTGAGAGATAATGGTTTTGTGGGGATATGGAATCGCAGATCATGTTGACTGAAACTCCATTTAGGCCAAGAGAGAAGCTTCTTGAGAAGCAGAGACTGTTCCAGAGCATCCATAAGCACACTTACTTGAAAGGACCAATGGACAAGATCACCTCTGTTGCAATTCCTCTTGCGTTGGCCGGAAGTTGTCTCTACATGATTGTAAGTTTCTCTGTTCGATTTCCTTGTTGGTTTATGCTGTATTCATTCTCGCATTTGCCATCTGTTTCGTTCTTGCAATTTTGTCTGTTACGTGGATCTTCTTGTTAGCATACAAGTGATTGTTTTTTTGCTTCAAATATACTTTGAACTCAAAACCCGAATGCCCTAGTTATCAGTTCCGTTGTAGTAGATGGGTATGTCGGTGTTGTGGATATTGTCTTAACTTTCTTAACCTTGTTCATCATCATCTCTAACTATGGAAGTTTTGTGTGGCTAATACAGGGAACAGGAATCTACAACATGTCTAATGGAATCGGGAAAAAGGAATAAGCAGCTTCGTCTTCTTTCTTACCGTTTTTGATTTCATGCTTTTGGAGGTTTCTCAATGTAACAGTGACTACCATTTGCAGTAGCAAAACTAAGGTTTCACTGGGTCCTTTGTCTTGAAGCTGTTTATTGCGTTTTGTCAAATAATTGCTTAGTTGCAGACAATGTCGAAAGCTGAAGATGTTTAATGCTACATATAAAAGTTCCAACGTTTGGAGGTTTTTCATTTGCTTTTATGACAAGTTGAATTCTCTGAGTTTGTTTCTTTTGCGTTCTACTACTAAACTTTGTAAGCATTTGTGTTCTATTTCACATGATTTGAGTTGTAGTTTTAAGGTTGTGAGTGATAATAATGCATTCACTGCAATGCCAAAAACAAAGGAAGACGTAAATAGTTAGAAAATACAAAAATCAAGGGTTGTCTTTTAAAGTTTTGTAATTATTTCAAAAAGAAAAATTTTCACAAAGACTTTCTACATTGTTCCAATTTTTTCTTATAAAAATTTAAATTTGAATTCCAAACTTTCAGGACCTCAGAATTTTGTTGATTAGTTGTAGATTCAAATAAATTGTTCAAGTGACTTTGTATAGGCAAGTATAATAAAGTGTTGACATAGAAACCATTTTATTTAAATTTTTAGCATTTTTTAAAATGTCTTATCCAATTAAAATTTAAAGAATATCAGCAAAAAAAAAACA